TTGTGCACTCATTCCATATTGATTTGTGCAATTCGGCCTCTTTGGCCATCATGTATCGAAATGCGTGATTGATGGTCCGAGGGTCGAACACTACACTCCTTTGAGTTCCAAACATGATAAGGGGTGTAGTTGCACTACATTTTCTTGCAAATGTATTGACATGCCCTTGTCTGTCCTTTGCTACAGCAAAAGGAGTATTCTACAGGAAGAGATGGTCGGTCGGCTATCTTCAGTGCCGATCGGCTAACAATATTTGGCCGATAGCATAAAAATCGATGGCCATTGTTCTCTGGCCAATGGCCATATCTCTTGGTCGATCACCTTTCAGCATGCCCATGGGGTGAATCAGAAGTGTGTTGGAGATTTGTGCAATTTTCAGAGGTGCAGAACAGTGCAAACAGAGGCAACATGAGGCATGGCAACGGATTTTCGAGCGAAGCTGATCGAGCATGCATCATTCAATCATTCCAAAGCGGAGCTGTGGAAGCCCCTTTAATTTCATACTTAGTCTGTTTTGTAACTTAATTAATTTGTTTAATTAGTTAAGAGTTTTGTAATAATTAATTAGCTAGAGTAGTTGATTAATTAGTTGACCTGTATTATTCATTCGGACCCTCCGTCGAGAGGGCAAATTTTGTAATAAGTGTGCGTGAGTGTGTGAATGTCTTCCAACCCCACGTCTTTCTCCCTTTTACTTATCAGCTTACGATGGTTAGTTTTAGGGCATATTTCAATTAGCATCCTTATGCTATGCATGTTTGCATTCATTCATTCGTATTGCATACACCGGGCTCGACGCATCATACTAACTGCATCGTATTTCAATTCTTACTTGAATACGTGTTATCAAGTATTGCATTTCATATACCATTTTAGAATAGCCGAGCCTATTTCTAGTTGCATTTTGCATGTGTTGCATTAGGCATCTTAACATAGCTAGGATCATGCATTGATTACTAACTAGCTATTGTTTTGGCTTGGAGTACTAGGTAATCTTTTATGTTTTAGCATCTTGCATGAGTGTGAGTGTTAACATGACAGTATGCTTGCCATGAGGCTACTTGCTTAAATGATATAACTGCATGAATGCCTGTAGGTGAAGGTTGGATTGGTTGAATTGGAACAATTCATCGAAATGCGAGTTTTAAGCCCACTTGAGGGTGGCAAAATCATGTTTTCTTAAGCCCACCTGAGGGTGGCAAATCCACGTCTTAGCCTACTTGCGAGTAGCACTTTCAAATCATTTTCAAACAAACATGAGATGTTTTGTTCCAACTTAGGCGATCTAGTCTATACTTGTGTGTTGTGCGCATCACATAGTAATTCTAGGCTAATAACCGGAATAAGAACGCAGGTATTTTCAAAAACAAGATATCATGTTAGTAAAGGCCGATCTTTGATCGGGCGAGCGAGGGTGCTCATTGTATGACCTTTCCCTCTCGTATCCAAGTTCCCGAGCCGAGACAACTTTGGTGATGATGGACACGTGGCCTTAGGCACGAGTCAGGGTTTCCTAAATTTCCCAAAACAAAATATTTAGGTGGCGACTCTGTATCTGGCAAAGCAGTCCATGTTTGACACTTCTTTATTAAAAATCAGTTTTCCAAAACGATTTGTCAGATTTGGACTCTTTGGTGATTTATCAATATTGCATTGCACTTTGCGAGATTAGATTTAAAACCGTGACATTGAGTCCGAACTGTAGTAAGCCTAATGAACAAAACGGATTTTCGCGCCAACCTCGCGCGCGGAGCCGTGGCGTTCGGGCATATCTACAATCAGCATGAAAGATTGTCATCTTACCATCAAAGAGAATCATGGTAATTTGATCCCTCGGTTGAGAATGTCCAAGAATCGGATATTTGCATTGAACATTCAACATGATGCTGCGAAGGGTTTAAATGCCATCATCAAAGCCAAAGACTGGCTATGGCATTTGTGGTTTGGGCATCTCAACTTTGGAAGCTTGAAGCTGTTGTCAAGCAAGAATATGGTGAAAGGGCTTCCTTATATTGCTCATACTAATGAGGTCTGTGAAAGTTGCATTCTTGGCAAGCATCACATAACTAGCTTTGCCAAAGAAGTGAAGTAGAGAGCAACAAAGCCGCTGAAGCTAGTGCACACTGATGTGTGTGGTCCATTGAAGCCAATGTCAAATGGACATAATAGATATTTTCTCACCTTCATTGATGATTATAGCCGGAAGACATGGGTGTATTTTCTTGAAAGAAAGTCGGAGGTGTTCAGTATCTTCAAAGAATTCAAAGCTTTTCTAAACAAGTAAAGTGGCTACTACATCAAGACATTGCGCTCAGATCAAGGTGGAGAGTATACATCTGATGCTTTCGAGAATTATTACAAAGAGCATGGAATCAAGCATCAAACAACACCATCTTGTATGCCACAATTGAATGGTGTTGCTGAAAGGAAGAATCGCACAATCTTAGATATGGCAAGGAGCATGTTGAAAGGAAAGGGACTGCCCACGCAATTTGGGGCTGAAGTCGTATCATGTGCTCTGTATCTAGTAAATAGATGCCCAACATGGAGCCTTCATTCTATGAGTCCAGAAGAAGCTTGGAGTTCACAAAAGCCAAGTGTCAATCATCTCAGAATATTTGGGTGTGTTGCATACACCAAGATTCCAGAAGCAAGAAGAACCAAGCTGAATGATAAGAGAGAAAAATGTATCTTTGTCGGGTATGGAGACAGAATAATGGGATACAAGTTGTATAATCCCATTACCAGAAAGGTGTTCATTAGTAGAGATGCGATATTTGAAGAAGAAGAAGAAGCTTGGAACTGGAATCAAGATGCAGTTGTTAAAGATACAGAACTCATTCTTGAAGATGAAACATCAAAAGCTCCGGTTGAGATTACAAGAGAAGTTCAAGATGAGCCACAAACTCCTCCATATAGAATAACGGCAACTAGATCGCCAATTTCTTACAGAAGTGTTGCATCATCATCATCATCAGCATCTTCAGATGATAGTTTTTTCAAACAACCATGACCAACGAGAAATTTATAGGAGATATATAAAGCTACAGAATAAGCAGATCTGAATTTGTTCTGCCTACTTGCAGATAGTGATCTACTTACTTTCTTAGAAGCCATCCAAGAAGATAAATGGAAGAAAGCAATGGATGAAGAAATTCATGCCATTGAGAAAAATGAACATGGAAGCTTACCAGTCTACCGGAAGAATACAAACCCATTGGAGTGAAATGGGTATACAAGAAAAAGAGGAACGCACAAGGCGAAGTGCAACACTATAAGGCAAGATTAGTGGCAAAAAGTTACAAGCAGAGAGTTGGAATTGATTATGGAGAGGTGTTTGCTCCACCTCGATTGGAGACTATCAGGCTAATGATTTCTTTGGCTACCCAGCACAAGTGGCAGATTTATCAACTTGATGTGAAATCTGCATTTCTTAATGGTTTCCTTGAAGAAGAAATCTATATTGAACAACCTTCAGGGTATGTTCATAATGGGCATGAAGACAAAGTGTACAAATTGAAGAAAGCACTTTATGGATTGTATCAAGCTCCATATGCATGGAATACTAGAATTGATCAGTATTTTCATGACAATGGTTTTGAAAAAATGTCCATATAAGCACGCACTATATTTGAAGAAGGAAGCTGATGGAAGCATGTTGCTTGTTTGTCTTTATGATGATAATCTAATTTTCACCAGAAACAATCCAGCCATGTTCAAAGACTTTAAAAGAAGCATGGTCCAAGAATTTGAAATGACAGATATTGGATTGATGGCTCATTTTCTCGGGATTGAAGTGGCACAAAGAAAAGATGGAACTTTTATTTCCCAAAGTGGCTATGCTAAGGAAATTCTCAAGAGATATGGAATGGAAAATTGCAATCCAGTGAACACTCCTATAGGCAGTGGAGTGGAGCTCAAAAAAGGTACAAAGGCAGGTGATGTGGATCTAACTTATTTCAAGAGCCTAGGTGGAAGTCTTTGCTATCTTACTTGCACCAGGCCAGACATACTCTATGGAATAGGACTGATTAGCAGATATATGAAAACACCGGATCAGTCACACCTTTATGCGGCAAAGAGGATTCTTCGCTACAACAAAGGTACAGTCGATGATGGTTTATTCTATAAACCAACTGATAATTTCAGTCTTGTTGGCTACTCAAATAGCGACTGGGGACATGACTTGGATGAACGAAAAAGTACTGCAGGATTTACTTTATTTATGGGAGATACAACCTTCACATGGTCGTCCAAGAAGTAAGCCATTGTGACATTATCGACTTGCATACAGCCAACTCAGCTGTGTGCTATACAATATGGTTACAGAACGTGTTGAAGCATTTAAGATTTCCACAAGAAAATCCTACTGAGATCTATGTTTATAATCGCTCAGCAATTGCATTAGCAAAGAACCCAGTTTATCATGAAAAAAGTAAGCATATTGACACCCGCTATCATTTCATCCGAGAGCATGTGAAAAACAAAGAGGTGGAATTATTTCCTTGCAAATCTCAAGATCAACTTGCAGATATTTTCATGAAGCCATTAAAAATGATCTGTTTAACAGAATGAAGTTGATGCTCGGGATGAAGCAGCATGGAAAATCAAGATTAGGGGGGGATGTTGTGAAGGAATCTTGATATAAAAAATTGTTTTTCTCCACCGGCCTAAGAATAGAGGCTGCAATCAAGTTTGTCAAAAATGGTTGCAATTCACAAGCCTCAGCCGTATTTGCATTTAATGGTTTCACATTACTAGCCGTATTTGCATTTAATGTTTTCACATTGTTAGTTTTATCTTTATATAGCTGCATTATTTTGAAGAATTCAGAGTGTGTGGGAGAAAGGAAAAAAAAAAGTGTGCTTTGTTTGTTTGCTTTCTCAGAATTATTTTGAGTGAATTTAAATTTTAATTTGGTTCAGTGTTAATCCTCTCATTGTGAATCACCAACAGTGGTTTGCACCCCACTACCACTAACAATAGTCACTCATTTTCTGCTATTTTTTAGGGTTAACAGCATAGTAAGTCTGAACAAAGCTCAGAGCAATTGCTAAAAGTGCACCAAGGAAAGTAAGTCAAGTCCAGGGGCTACTAAATGGGCGTACAACCATTCAGTCACCCAAAATCTCACCTTGTTCTTATAGCGCATTTCAATACATTTTCTAACATCTTTATAAGCATTAGGGATTGGGACTAAGTTTTTGGCACATGCTGATCACTTCCAAGGAAGTTGAGAATTATGCCTTTCTTTCTCAACTCATTCACATCCTCAGCCTGATCAATGAGTGTATCAATAAACTATCAGGACACATCTCATAGGCTACCCAGTTTAATAGTAAAGCATTGGTTGAGTCATCAATGGTCATTGGAAGAAGTCTTAAGACTGCTCTAATGAACTAAGGTTCATACCTTGCATCTGTAAAAAAAATTGCTTTCTTCGGTGGGCCTGAATTGGATCCCTACTGCTTTAAGCTCCTGTACTGAACGATATAAGTAGCAACTGTTGCCTCCTCCTCCTCTGAAAGCCTTGGGGTTAATAAGGTGTCGTTTGGGAAGTGGGTTGGCTTTTTGGCTTTTTGATTTTTTTGGCTATTTTAGTCTGGGCTAAAAAGCTTGATTTGGGAAGGGTTTTTTGGCTTTTTTGGTTTTTTTTTGTGAGAGAAGAGTGTAATGATTATGGGTTGGATGTGACATTTTGTTTGTTGTGGCTAAAATAGCCCGTTTTGTCTTTTGTGGCTAAAATAGCCAAAAAAACCTCCAAATAGCTCCAAAAGATGATCAGCAGGTTCTTGTGATTGCGGTTCTGGTAGCTTCTTTCTTTTCTGGTCTGTAACATGCTTTGTAATGGAATTTTCCACCTTCTCTAGAAGTGAATCTTTAAGAGGCCTTGCCATTGTGGTCTTAATGAACTTTTCAATCAACTTCAATCCTTTATTCCCTTCAAAGGCTGAGTTCATGATCATCAAGGCATTGAGGACTATGAAAGGAAATTGGTTTTCGAGCAAGAACAAGTCACGTTGCATGAAAGCTTTGTCGTGACTCTTCATCTTCATCTTCATTTTGTCTTGCTCTTCTTTGTTTTTCGTGCAGATGTTGATGTAGTGAATGATGAAGCAACCATCGAGGAACAACATTCGAGTGAAGGCTCCGTCATTGAAGCTTTCTGTCGAGTCAACATAGCAGTTTCTTGCATCACTAGCCACATTTGCAACCTGCTTATATAGTGTCGTTGCCGAGATTTCTGGCTTATAACTTTTGACATACTCTTTTGTGAATCGAATTTTTAGTTTCTCAAATGATTGGAGCTTGGCTTGGTTATTGTGGTAGGGACCAATAGAAACCACCTCTGGTTCGTAGCATTCCTTGTTGGATTCCATCTGCAGAAGCATCTTGAGGACCTTGGGTATCTTCTTATGCTTTGGCATTGGTGTGTTGTTTGAGGATGAGGATGAGGACTCTCGTTCTTCCTTCATTATGGATTCTAGCCAGTCATCATCCAAATTTGAAGCCACTGGGATCACAATGTGCTCATCACCACTGGCCACTGGTTGGTTGAAACAAGGACCAGACATTGTTAGCTCGTATAGAAGAATACAGCAAAGAAGGATACAAATTGAGGATATTGACTCATATTTGTTAGGTAGTTGAGAGATCAAGAATGACGGACAACTCGTGTGTGTTGTAGTTTTTCAGTTTTCGGAATTCCACGTAAGCTATGTAATACTTCAAAGTGTAGGACTGAGTTTCCCTCTAGTCCATAATCTACACTAAAGGGCGTTGTCTAAACCTGTGAGTAGGGCTGCAAACGAATCAAGATGTTTATGAATAGCTTGAGCTCGCCTCATTTACTAAATGAACGAGTTTGAACTCAACTTTTAGGCTCGTTTATTAATTGAGCCGAACTCAAGTAGCCCTAAACTCAGCTCGATAAAGCTCGTAAATATAGAAATAAATAAATTAATATTTATTTTTAATAATATATCAAATAAATTTTCAATAATATATTTTATTTTTCTATTTATGTTTGGTGTTTGTGTAAATGAAATTATTATTAATATAAAAATTATTTTATATTTTACTCATAATTTTGTATTTTTTTTTTTTAATCTTAATAAGTAAACTAATTTAAGAGTTTTTTTTTTTCAAGTTCGAGCTCGGCTCATTTATGTAATCGAGCGAGCTAAAGCCGAGCTCGAGTTCATCAAATATTTGGCAAGCAGAGCTCGAGCTCAATTATTTAAGCTCCACTTGAGCTCGAGTTCGACTAATTCTTAATAATAAGCTTGAATACTCAAATACTCAGTTTGGCTCCACTTATTTGCAGCTCTGCTATCACGGGTTCTATTTCGATAATCTGAATGGTTCATTTCATAAAATCCTTCGTGTATATAATCCATAAAAAAAAAATGAGGTTAATTTGATAATTATAAACTATTCAATTCATCACGTTTGTCATAAAAAAATAAAAATAAATAAAAAATAAAATTAGATGGTTTAATTATTTTTAAAAATATATTTATCATTCATTTTTGTAGACACATTTGTCCCTCGAGTCTGGACAACACCCTAATCCAACTCATTTTCAAAATATAAATTATGAAGTTACTTATTTTTGTCTAATAATTTAAATTTTTGGATAGCAAATGATTAATAATTTAATAATTCAATATGGTATGAGATCAAATAATTAATTATATGTTTAAATCTTACTTTTTTTTCAATAATAAAAATAATTGCACATGTTGAAAAAAATCTAAATTAATAATAAAATTACCTCATTTATAGTAATTCGTGTTATCTGTCTGAGAATTTTTTTTGACAGAATTGACTGACTTTTCTCGTTTCTAATAATCTTTTTTTCTTTTACTACGTGAAGTCACACTCATGCATGTTTCACATACATTCCAACTGTAGTGCACAAGTTACTATTAGAACGCTCTCACTTTAGTTTAGAATTTTTTCTTTTCGTAAATTACACTCACCTTTTTAAGATTCGAAAAAAATACAGTTAATTATATATTTTTAATATAATTATACTAATTTTTTAATTCATTAAACATTTAGTTTCTTTTTTTTTTATTTGTAATTTGTGAGTCATATGAATGAAAAAGTAAAGTTGCGTATTTTCTACTAAAATGTATTTTTACCTTTTTTTAGTTATGTGTTCATCTACCATCTGCATTAGTTTTGATGATTTTAACCTTACTAAAATCAAGGTTGGTAGTGTAATTCTATCAAGTTTGTAAGATTAATTATATTTTTGTCAAACTAAAGGGGAGGTGAATGTAATTTATCCTTTTTTTCTATAAATCCACCACATGTTCACATACATTCAAACGTTGTCCAATTTTTATTTTTTATGTTTGACAAAATTCAAAGATGAAGAGGAGAAAAAGAGGATTGAAGTGTGAGATTGTGTGAATTTCCCATTTTTTTATCCAAGTTTGATGTATCATGAGTTATATGTAGGGACAATTTGTTTCTTTATCCTTTTTCCACTTCATTATACAAAATTTGTAGCAAAACTGTCACATACTTTCACATGAGGTAGGTCCACACGATAAAATTTTATTAATCTTCCAAACCAAAAAATTTTACAGTCATTGTTTGAGGTGGGCCTTGTTTTTAATGCTAAAGTTTTATTTATTTATTGCATATATATTATTTTTTTAAAAATCATAAACTTTGATGTTTTTATAGCATATTTCTTTCTCATTTAGATATCATACTTTCTACTGTTTATTTTTCTAAATTAATTTTTAAATCAACCTTCAAGCCCAAACATGCATGGGATATAAAGATGAATTATGTTTCAAGGCTTCCAATATTTTTGCCAAAGCAAGCATAGGTTGTGCTTTATTCTCCCCCAAAAGTGTAGTCTAAGAACAAGTTCTTTCTGCCATGGTCTGATCTTTGCTTTCGTATTTAAGAATTTTTTTTTTTTTTCAAATATGTTCTTTTTTTTGTTTTTGTTTTTGTTTTGTTTTGTTTTTATTGGATATTTATTTTAGCTTGCGTACATCTTGGCTAATTTCAGAACCTTGAAATTAATAACTAAGTAAGCCTCTAGTGGCCCCTTAAAGTGATTCGAATTCAAAATTTTAAATTTTATTCTCAAGTTTTTTATATCTCGGCCAACCCTTGAGTTTTTTTTAAGAATGAATTATGCTGAATTTGGAATTCTTTCTTAAAGAAGCCAGATGCACGTGGAACAATGATTAGGTAGTTCTAAAGGATCAATTAGAATTGTTTAATGTGATATTTTTGAAAAATCAATGATTAGGTAGTTCTAAAGTATCAATTAGAATTGTTTAATGTGACATTTTTGAAAAATCAATGATTAGGTAGTTCTAAAGTATCAATTAGAATTGTTTAATGTGACATTTTTGAAAAATCAATGATTAGGTAGTTCTAAAGTATCAATTAGAATTGTTTAATGTGACATTTTTGAAAAATCAATGATTAGGTAGTTCTAAAGTATCAATTAGAATTGTTTAATGTGACATTTTTGAAAAATCAATGATTAGGTAGTTCTAAAGTATCAATTAGAATTGTTTAATGTGACATTTTTGAAAAATCAATGATTAGGTAGTTCTAAAGTATCAATTAGAATTGTTTAATGTGACATTTTTGAAAAATCAATGATTAGGTAGTTCTAAAGTATCAATTAGAATTGTTTAATGTGACATTTTTGAAAAATCAATGATTAGGTAGTTCTAAAGTATCAATTAGAATTGTTTAATGTGACATTTTTGAAAAATCAATGATTAGGTAGTTCTAAAGTATCAATTAGAATTGTTTAATGTGACATTTTTGAAAAATCAATGATTAGGTAGTTCTAAAGTATCAATTAGAATTGTTTAATGTGACATTTTTGAAAAATCAATGATTAGGTAGTTCTAAAGTATCAATTAGAATTGTTTAATGTGACATTTTTGAAAAATCAATGATTAGGTAGTTCTAAAGTATCAATTAGAATTGTTTAATGTGACATTTTTGAAAAATCAATGATTAGGTAGTTCTAAAGTATCAATTAGAATTGTTTAATGTGACATTTTTGAAAAATCAATGATTAGGTAGTTCTAAAGTATCAATTAGAATTGTTAATGTGATATTTTTGAAAAATCACAAAACAGGTTAGAAGATCATTCATCCATTTGGAGAATGAGAAATAACACTATTTTTTTTTAAGATCGGGTCCATCTAATACTATTAATACATAAAAAACTAGTATCTGTTTGGTCTTAACATGAACAAAAGAGAAGTGATATGGATTATTCAACTTTAAAATGAGAGTGTATTTTTGTTTTCTTTTTTTATTTTATTTTAAGGGCATTGAACATAAAATAAGGGCAAATTGGGAAATGCAATAAATTAGCATGTTTAATTTTATTTTATTTTTGATCAGGGGAATTAATTAGCATGTTGAATTCAACATTTTTGTTACCATTGATAGTTAATAATCAAATAATGAAAAAGTGAAGTTGGTCAATATTATTTCATAACAGAGAGAGAGATTCTTATAATTGTCAATAATCTTAATGGAAGTTAGTATAATTTACCCTTTGCACAAATTTCATGTGGGGCATTGAATGCCTCCCTTTGCTAACATTTATGCTGGGTAGCTCGAATGACTTTTGGCCCTAATGGCTCAAAGCGCCAAAACGATGTCCTTTTGACACCTTTTTTTTTGGTCTTCGTCCCTTCCTTCTTTTCTTCGTTTCCCCTACTGAAAAATTAGAGAAAGAAGAAGAAAAAAAAGAGATTCATCATGATTACAATTCTCAAAATTATATTCAACAACAGTTTAACAAGATCAAAATCAAAATTTAAAATCAAATCTAAAATCAAAACCAAATAAAAAATCAAACCCACAGTTTAACAAAATCAAAATCAAATCTAAAATCAAAACCAGGAGTGCACCCTCTGGTTCTTCTCAGCATTGTCGACAACTACCACCGAGTCGCCAAAGACACTCGCAAGCACGTCATCGGTGTCCTCCTCGGAAGCTCTTACAAGGGCATCGTTGATATTGTTAGCTTTTGATAAAACTCTTTTTAGAATGAACTATATTTTGTATTGAATTTTTCTCACTTATTGATTCATATATTTTGCCCAAAGGCTTACATCCTTTTATATAGAGAAGGTTATACATAAGTTCAATGAATAAGATCCATGAACCTAAACAACCTTACAATTAACTAGGTACATGAATATAATTTAGACAATGTACTTAATAAATATAAAATACATGAATATAAAAATACATGAATACAAAGAATGTATGAACTCAATGTATCCAATGCATGCAATGTATCCAATGTATCTAATGTAAATATGACATTAATTTTAACACTCCCCCTTAATGCCATATTGTGTGACACCCAACATTTCTCTAAAAAATTCAAATTTGTCCCTTGGTAGAGCTTTGATGAAGATGTTTGCAACTTGATCTTCAGTCTTGCAATACTTGATTTGAATCTCATCATCTTCCACAATTCGAATATCTAAGGCAACACGCCCTCTCATACTTTCCCTAATCATCAACCAATCATATTACTTACACATCATT